TTTACTTAAACAGAAATCATACTGAGTCCAAGAACAATGCACAATGGTATTTATACTACCATTTTTCATAACTAAACTAATTCTTTATGTTTTGCATGATATATGGCCTACCACCATAGATAAGGACATGAGAATTAAAGAATGCAGGGACAATTTTTTAGTTTCACCCAACCAACGATTTTCTGATGTGCTTTTGTGTTTCTGGGGAAATATGTAGTAAATTAATGATGTTCTACATCACTTCCGTCGCAACTTGAAAACTAAGCATTTGCGACGGAAGTGATGTAGAACATCAATCAATTGAGATCTGTTATTGAAATGATAAAGACTTAAAGACAGGACCCAAAATGCTTTTAAAAACCCACAAACAGAAATCAGTTGCGTTTTAGGTTTTTCTTTATAGTATTTTTACCAAAAAAAGCGTTTTTTACTGGTCCATGCGTTCTTACTGGTCAAGTAAAAACCCCATCAGGTACCTCCCCTTAACATTTAGAGGCGGAAAACAAACATTTATCCATACACATCAATGTCTATCAACAACACTTCAGTTAATTTGTCACAGTACAAGTCTAGATAACGTGTAATTACTACAGAAAATTGGAGAGGAATCTCCCATACTCACCCATTAGTGGGAAAACACAGCTGTTCTGATGTAAACAAAGGCATGTTGAGTGTTGCCATCTATGGTTAGGTTTATTTATTTTTATTTCATTTTATTTCATTATTTATTTTTGTTTTGATTAATTTTTAAAAGTCAATTTTACTCTCCAAACACTTGAACTTTTTAGGTAGGGACCCCTTTGCACTTGCACCATGTGCACAGTCTTGGATGAGTCCCTGAACCCCTTGGACCGTGGGGCCCCCAAATGCACGGGGCCCTAGGCAAATGCCTAGTTTGCCTATGTGGTAATCCGGCCCTGCCTGGAAGTGGGGCTATTATCGAAATGGACGATTTACGAATCAATTTTCCCCATAAGAAATAATGTAAATTCAATTAATCCGTTCCTGACACCCAGAAGTATTAAAACAAAAAATTTTTTTACATGAAATATAGATATAGTACATAAACAATACAGTGGCATATGATGAATTAAACATTAACAGAATAACACTTACCTTTATTGGCAATTCTTCTTTTGGGTTTTATGGAAGACTGGAGAAGGAGACAGATTGGATTATTTACTGTTTGGAAGGGGAATCCCCTTCCATCAACACCTCAGGTACCAACTGCTTTCTGGGGTTATTCTCTTGTTTTTTAATGCCACTAGGACCACCTTGAAGAGTCACTGGAGTCCTGTCTCACAAAAAAACTGTCCCAGAGAGCTCTGTTTCTGGCATCTCTTTAAAACTTCCCTAAAATGGGCCAAGACTCTGTCACTGTACAAGTTGCCGATATGGATTGCAACATCCTTCTCTGGGTGATGTTTCTCCATAAATCTTTCCATCCTACCCCAATTTCAAAAATCTCCTTAATTTCTGAAGAAGGCACCTTCCTCCATCTCTCTTCTCCTCCTCTGCAGCAAGATTCTGAGCTGCGATCTGTTGCTTCCCGCTGAAGCTCTTGCAGCTCCTCAGTGGTTAGCTCTTCATTGTGGTCCTCCACCAACTCTTCCACATCCTCCAAACTCACATCCAACCCCATGGAACTCCCCAGTGTGACAATAGAGTTTACAACTGACATAGGCTCATCAGGGGCTGCCTCAAACCCTTCAAAATCCCTCTTGTGGACACAATCTGGCAACAATTTTCTCCAAGCAGAGTTCAAAGTCCTGGTAGTCACTCCCACCCAAGCCTTACCTATAAGGCATACGCAATGGAGAATACTGAAGTGGTCTTTCCAAAAAATCTCGTAGGGTCAAGTGAGTGTCTGAGGTCACATTCAAGCACCTTTCAAACATTGCTTTGGTGTAGAGTTTTTAAAAATTTTAAATGACTTGCAGGTCCATGGGCTGGAGGAGAGGAGTGGATTCAGGAGCAAGAACTTTACTGTGATGAACCCAAACTCCTTCAGAATTAGTTCATCCAAGTTTGGAGGATGAGCAGGTGCATTGTCCATTACTAGGAGGCACTTGAGATCAATTTCTTTTCCAAGAGGTAATTCTTCACACTAGGGCCAAACACTTCATTGAACCACTCGATGAAAATGTCCCTCGTGACCCATGCTTACTGTTAGATCTCCAAAACACACAATTTACTCTTCATAACATTGTTTTTCTTGAAACACTCTGGGATTTTCAGAATGGTACACTAGTAACGGCTTCACTTTGAAATCCCCACTAGCATTAGCACAGAACATTAGCGTCAGCCTGTCTTTCATAGGCTTGTGTCCTGGCAGCGCCTTTTCTCCTGAGTAATGTAGGTCCTCTTTGGCATTTTCTTCCAAAAGAGGCCTGTTTCATCACAACTGAACACTTGTTCAGGTTTCAGTCATTCACTGTTTATGTACTCCTTGAATTCATGCACATATTTTTCAGCCGCCTTGTGGTCCGAACTGGCAGCCTCACCATGCCTTACCACACTGTGTATGCCAGTACGGTTCTTAAATCTCTCAAACCAGCCTTTGCTGGCCTTAAATTCACTCACACACCACTAGTTGCAGGCAATTTCTTTACCAAATCGTCATGCAACTGCCTAGCCTTTTCACAAATAAGCGACATCATGAGACTATCTCCTGCTAATTGTTTCTCATTTAAGCTCTGTTCCACAAGGCACAGTACTAGCTCCCATCTTGTTCCTCATCCTCATATCCGACATAGACAAGGATGTCAGCCACAGCACCGTGTCTTCCTTTGCAGATGACACCCGAATCTGCATGACAGTGTCTTCCATTGCAGACACTGCAAGGCTCCAGGCGGACATCAACCAAATCTTTCAGTGGGCTGCAGAAAACAATATGAAGTTCAACGATGAGAAATTTCAATTACTCAGATATGGTAAACATGAGGAAATTAAATCTTCATCAGAGTACAAAACAAATTCTGGCCACAAAATAGAGCGAAACACCAACGTCAAAGACCTGGGAGTGATTATGTTGGAGGATCTCACCTTCAAGGACCATAACATTGTATCAATCGCATCTGCTAGAAAAATGACAGGATGGATAATGAGAACCTTCAAAACTAGGGAGGCCAAGCCCATGATGACACTCTTCAGGTCACTTGTTCTATCTAGGCTGGAATATTGCTGCACTCTAACAGCACCTTTCAAGGCAGGTGAAATTGCCGACCTAGAAAATGTACAGAGAACTTTCACGGCGCGCATAACGGAGATAAAACACCTCAATTACTGGGAGCGCTTGAGGTTTCTAAACCTGTATTCCCTGGAACGCAGGAGGGAGAGATACATGATTATATACACCTGGAAAATCCTAGAGGGACTAGTACCGAACTTGCACACGAAAATCACTCACTACGAAAGCAAAAAGACTTGGCAGACGATGCACCATCCCCCAATCAAAAGCAGGGGTGTCACTAGCACGTTAAGAGACCATACAATAAGTGTCAGGGGCCCGAGACTGTTCAACTGCCTCCCAGCACACATAAGGGGGATTACCAACAGACCCCTGGCAGTCTTCAAGCTGGCACTGGACAAGCACCTAAAGTCAGTTCCTGATCAGCGGGCTGTGGCTCATACATTGGTTTGCGTGCAGCCAGCAGCAACAGCCTGGTTGATCAGGCGCTGATCCACCAGGAGGCCTGGTCACAGACCGGGCCGCGGGGGCGTTGACCCCCGAAACTCTCTCCAGGTAAACTCCAGGTATAACTTCTCAACATCTTTGAGTACTGGTGATCTCATTTTTGTCAGCATATTTACCCCCTTTGCAACAACAGCGTCCTTGATTTCCTTTTTCTTGGCTATGATGGAAGATATGGTTGTACGGAATTTTTTATACATCCTGGCCAGTTCGCCTCACACTCACACGTACGCCACTATCATATTGTTCAATGATGTTTTTCTTAAATTCAATCGTATTTCTCACCTTCTTTACCAAAGGCTTGGCACTAGGAGTTTTCTTTGGAGCCATGGTAGCTTATTTAGCACTTAAGTAACTTGCAAGCACTAAAATAAATGGAATATTATGAAATATTTCGCTGGAGCACGTGAGGGGACCGTCGCTCACTGGTAAACAATGGCACACTGGCTGGGAAGGAAAGGCCCAGGCGGCTCAGAGCGTGAGTACACGTCCGGGACAAAGGACTATTAGCGAGTTACTGGACCATTTGGGAGCCAATATTTAGACGAAAAAACAAGACTATTTCTGAAATGGATGACTTTCAGGCCGGACGATTATTGAGGGACCACTGTATTAAGTGAGGAATGGAGCTAGGCCTAAAAATGCATATACAGTACACACTTTACAGAATTCTGCTGGGCCTGCCCATACTACTTTATATTAGACTCTTAAGAGAAAAATGCAAATGAAAAATTAAGTAAAAAAATAAAACCGAGTAAATTTTTAGTACATAGTGTAGCCTAAGTTTTGACCGAGATGTGTATTCTACTTTCCTTCAGATTGTATGTCCTATGCAGTAATACTGAAATATAGATTAGTATTTGCATCTACATTTGAACAAAATTTGTAAGAACAGCTACAAATGTTGTAACAAATTATTTTAAAAAAACATTCCAACATATTTTGCAAAAAAAAAAAAATCCAGTAGAAATTATAAGTTTATTTTAAAACTGCCTGAAATGTTCTGCATAACCAAAGTTTTTTTTTTTTTTTAAATGTCAATTTTTCAGGCTAAGAGCTGTTATCCTACCTCAGCTCAATTCCAAGCTGCAGTATTTCTGAAATGTGTAATAATCAGGCTGAGAGGCTGACCACCACCTTCAAGGCTGAGGGACTGATCACCTCATAACTACTACTGTTACCAGTATTATATTTCACCTGTATTCAACTGAAGCCTGCTACAAAATGTTTCAGCAACAAAGACATCCAGGTGTTGAACAATGTGTATTAACAAACATGACTGCAAGTGAAATGCAGTGACACTAACATTATACCAGATGTTGGAGGGATGATCCCTAACACCACAGTAGGAAGAAGGTGTCTTGCAGCAGGAATCTGGCACACTGTTATTAATATTAGGGTTATCCAGCAACCACTGACTCTGCTGCCACTGGCTGAAGGTCAAGGCTCCACAGCAGTGGTACTGCAAGAAAGTATTGTATGTAAAGGTTAGTAACTTGTAATGGTGGTACTGGAAGTATGCAAAGGTCAAAAAAGAATTAAAATTTTGCTAGGCACACGGCCTATCTCAGAGAAAACTACTGTCTTCCAAATATGTGTTACGCTATCATACATTATGCTCATCCCAAAGAGGATGACTTGTGAATTAATAATCCGGATTCATATCTTATAAAATGTTCATATTTAATGATACCACACTTCATTCTATTGAAGAGAACACTTCAGTTTTCTTTTAGCTTTTTCTATTAAAATTTGAAAAAAAAATAATAAATAGAATTCTAATACGTTTAAGTTTCTTTACTTTCTTATTCTAATTTTCCTATAAAAGGATTCAGTTCTGTATTTGCATGTATTAATACATAATAATGAATGTTGTAACTCAAGTATATTTAGCCTGATAACTATTTTAATTTCGAAATTTTAATAGCTTCAAGAAAATTTGAAAGGTTCCTAAACTCACAAAGAAGCTGTCTTTCATAGGGTTTTTCAAGGAAATTTGTAAGAAGGTTCTCAAGCTCGCAAAGAAGCTGTCTTAAAGGTGTCTGATTTAGAAACAAAATCCACAGCCAGGATTTCAATCTGGGGCTGCTTAAAAAATCATAAGATACTGAAAAAAATCAGAAAAATCTCTTTTAAAAGCACGTGACGTTGACGTACGTGAAATTTCTCAAGCTATCAATTTCTCAAGCTATCGTGATTTTGCTGGTCAATATAATACAGTGAAAATTTGCCATTAACTGAAAAAATAAAACGTACTTGCTACCTCCCTCCTCCACTGTGGCTTAGGTTAGGTAAGGTTAATCAGGAAAAAAGAGAAACGTTTCCCAATATGGGTCTTAGTCATGTGATGACCCACAGTTGGAGCTTTTGGTCATTTGACCGAGGCCTTCCGCTGGTTTACCCCTCCACTCCTTTATGAATTATGGTTATTATTATAATCATTAAATCCAGGCTGTGCCATTGTTTATACAAACAACATAAGAACAGAGAATGATCATGTTTCACACTATTCATACCACTACTTCTCAGTACTTATAAAACTTTCACCGATTCTCAGGTGCCGTGTTTGCAAGTGCTTGTGTGTGTAACTTGAAGTGTTCATAAATTAGAGACCTCCACTATAGAATAATTCATCTGTAGATTTTTTATAACATTTGCAATTATAGATAAATGCACGACGTGCTGTGAAAAGTATGGGCTTTCAAATTATTGTGAATGTGTACAGTAAACTAAAATAAAGTTACATGAAAGTGTAGATTTGATGTTGGTGAAATGTTAGCACAATTTTTAAAAGTTGTGGACTGGTAAGCCAGTAGAATGCCTCAGTCAATGACCAAAAGTGCCAGCTGAGGGTCATCATATGACTGAGACCTGCATCAGGAAACACTTGTCCTGTTTTCTGACAAACCTTACCTACCCTCCGACACACAAGTAATACAGTCAGCAGATCCTGCACTGAAAAACGTTTCCTTTTAGCACTTTATTACTATTATTATTACCTTTATTATTAAAATGCTTTACTCAGGGAGAGCTTCAAGCTACTTTGATTAAGTTCTCCTTGAGCAAAATGTTATCTTCAAGGCCTGTTCTGCTGTAAGTGCCTTTGTATTACCCACAAACCAAAAGTATTACCTCAATCTGCATCTGATCTATGGCCTGAGTGACTTCTTGATCAATCATGTAGTTGTTGTTGAAGGTTGCAGTGAGTGAATGTGAGAGCTCGGCCATGATCTGTTCCTCGTAAACATAGGCTAGGACTCCAGCCACTGCTTCCACCAGGAACACCAGCAACAGGAGGAACGTGTACTGCACACACAAAGACATTGTAAAGTGTTAACTCTGTTAAGTAAGTAAATCTATTCAGGTATACACACATACAGTTACATAGATTATCATACATAGCAGCAGATGTGTAGAGAACCTAGGATAACCCAAAAAAGTCAGAGTGACTTATTTCCATTAGTTGGACATTCATCACAACGACTATTGCATAGGCCTGGTAGAATAATTTTTTTTCCCATTAATGTGTGTGCAGGGATAAGAGGATGTATTACTATTATTACAATCATGAATGTATTATCATTATTATAATCAAAAAGAAGAGCTAAGCCAATCATGAATGTAAAAACTTCAGAAGGCTACACTTTATGACTAAGCTTTCTCATGAGCATATTACGGAGTTTTCTTCATGCACACTTGAATGTCATTCACCTCTGTACAAACATTGTATCATATTGAAATAAAGAATCTTAATATATGACTCAGGAATGCATGTCAAGCTTTCTCATAACTATATAACCAAAAACCTTGAGTTTCAAGGAAAATGTTTTCCCAATAAAGCTTCCAGTCCTCTGCTGCAGTGTCTCATAATAGTAATAAAATATTAATATAATAATATCTTTATTTACTACAAGTACATGTACAAGGTATACAGGCCTAGCTGACATCAATGACATACTACATACATGTATATAGAAAGCCCCTTGTTATGCAAAGCATTTTGGGCAAATTAGGTCCTTGTCCCAGGATGCGACCCACACCAGTTGACTAACACCCAGGTACCCACTGTACTGATGGGTGAACATAGACAACCGGTGTAAAGAAACACGCCAATGTTTCTACCCTCGCTGGGAATCGAACCCAGACATCACTGTGTGAAGCGAGAGCTTTAGCGATTTTGTGTGCAATTACAAGTGTTAATGGATTTTATGCTATTCACGAAAATATCTTCTATGGTATAATACAAACTTTAGACATTCCTTGCTAAACAAAGTAACACTCGAAACATAATATATTCTAAGGAACCTATAAAACACCTCAACTATACGTCCTGAAGTAGTTATATATTGCAATGCATCAAAAGAATACATACTAGTTGAACACAAAATCTATGTCCATGTTAGTATATACAATATTTGAATACAGGATATATGCACCTGTCGGAAAACACACTAGCTGAACACAAAACATATACAGCATACACGATGGCTAACGCAAAATATTAGCATGTCAGAATACACGCTAGTTGGTGTCCCGTAGCTAGTTCACTAGCGCTCTCAGCTCACACACTGAGGTCCGGGGTTCGAATCTCCTCCTGGGAGCGCTTGAAGTTTCTAAACCTGTATTCCCTGGAACGCAGGAGGGAGAGATACATGATTATATACACCTGGAAAATCCTAGAGGGACTAGTACCGAACTTGCACACGAAAATCACTCACTACGAAAGCAAAAGACTTGGCAGACGATGCACCATCCCCCCAATGAAAAGCAGGGGTGTCACTAGCACGTTAAGAGACCATACAATAAGTGTCAGGGGCCCGAGACTGTTCAACTGCCTCCCAGCACACATAAGGGGGATTACCAACAGACCCCTGGCAGTCTTCAAGCTGGCACTGGACAAGCACCTAAAGTCAGTTCCTGATCAGCCGGGCTGTGGCTCGTACGTTGGTTTGCGTGCAGCCAGCAGCAACAGCCTGGTGGATCAGGCGCTGATCCACCAGGAGGCCTGGTCACAGACCGGGCCGCGGGGGCGTTGACCCCCGAAACTCTCTCCAGGTAAACTCCAGGTACAGCTGGAAAATATTAGGAACGTGTTTCCATAAGACACCTGCTGTCCCTGTTCACCCATCAGTTTAAAATGGGTACCTGGGTGTTAGTGGACTGGTGTGGGTCGCATCCTGGGACAAAACTGACCTAATTTGCCAGAAATGCTCAGCATAACAAGTAGCTTTCTATATGACTCACGAAATCGTAATGACACGATTGCAAACAAATCATTTCTATATAGTAGTGTGTCATTGATGTCAGCTATGGTCTATATACCTTGTACATGTACTTGTAGTAAATAAAGATATTATTAAAACCGGGATACAATGATCGAAAGGAAAAAAAATCCTCCTAAAAGAAATGGATTTAAAAGGATTATTAAAATTTTCACGCGAAAAGCGCGAAACCCGTAGGGGTCATAAAAACTCCTTGGAGAATGGGAATCAGATCTGAATGAAGGAAGGGTAGCTTAAATTTTCTTGAAGCAAGAGCCCTCCTCACCATTTTTTTTTTTAGTTAACATGTTTATGCACTCCATACCCATCCTGTGGGCGGTAGTCAAAAGATTACAGAGGTACATAATGGGTCCAGGGACTGGGTCCTACCTCCCTCGGGACGTGCAGCTCATGAGTTAGTACAGAGGGACACCACATTGTTGCTAAACCGAAGTTGAAAAGAGCAATAAAGAGTCATCACGTGGTGATCCAGCAACACCAGGTTCAGCCACGTCTCATATATACTCAACACTGCAATCTACATGAAGAGTGAATGTCTCTCATACACATCCAACATTACACTGCACGTTTAAGACAATATTCTTACTAATACTCTTATATTCTTACTAATATTCTCATATTCTTACTAATATTCTCTTACATTCTTACTAATATTCTCTTGGATAGTTAATGGTACTAGATACCGACATTACAAGTTAAGAAATGGTATAAAATACCGACAAATTTGAAGACATGCGCACCATCAGGATAAAAGCCATATAGCATGAATTAATAGGCTATTCAATTATTTTGTATTCATTGTAACTCCTAAATCTATACTCACCCAAGTGACTGTATGTATAAAATTACTCATACTGTTATTGCCTTATTAATCTTAAGTCAGTCTTAAATTTGCCAGCAATGCTCTGCATGTTAAAGGACCACTGTCTGCAAATCAGTTTAAGGCACTACGTACTAAGAAATCACCTCATCACCCAAATTTAACCAGACAAACTGTACCTAATACCTACCAGTTACTCAAAAGCTACTCATTGTGCTGAGGATTACTCAACCAATTACTACTTCAAAATTAGGGTGTCTAAATTTCATTGTTTTAAATACTTACTTGTAATACATCATATTCTAAATTATTTTAAAATGTTCTATTGTAATACTGTTCTGTAATCTTTATAAACTAATTCAATATTGTAATTATTCTCTACTAGAATATCAAAGCCATGTAGCATTACCTAACAGAATATTCAAACTTCTAGTACTCACTGTAACTTATCTAATGACTATATGAACTGTTATTGCCTTCCTAAAAGGGACCAGGAGGCACAGACCCCACAAGACAAACAATAGTAGCTACGACAACCCAACTCCAGGTGTTTTTTTAGTGGCAGGAAACGAAAAAAGAAAATGGAAGGAAATAACAAAAATAGTCCACCACCTTGGAGCCTTGTTGGACTGGAGGCGCAGCCAGTGGCCACCCATGGCCCTCTAGAAACTACAACTACTGATGCCAATAACAAAATCCCCCCAACAAACACAGAATACAACCTCGTTCATATTTGCTAATATACAGGGCCTTACGCCATCCACCAACAACAAAATACCTTTTATCAGTGGACTTCTAGAGGAGTCTAATGTAATGTTTGCAGCCTTCACAGAGACTCGCACAAAAGATCACTTTGACAGTGAAATATGGATAAGTGGTTACAACCTTTATAGATGCGACAGAAAGAACAGGCAACAAGGGGGTTGGCCTGTATGTCAAAGAGTCCCTCATCTGCACGGAGTTGCTGAACACCACAAATGAGGTAGTTGAAGTTCTATCAACAAAGATCGAAAACTAAAACCTAGTCATTATGGTTGTATATAAGCCATCAGATGCAGCCTCCCAACAGTTCAAGGAACAGCTACTGAAAATTGATTACTGTCTGGAAAGCCTTCCAGCTCCATCCCAAAAACATCTTACTGCTTGGTGATTTCAACCTAAGGCATACAAAATGGAAGATTGTAGCGAATAATGTTGTAGCTGAAACAATTCCCGGATGTAGCGCAGATGAAAGGTCACACACACATGAGCTACTAAGTCTCTGCGATAAACACACCTTAAGCCAGCAGATAGTGGAGCCAACAAGACTAGAAAACACACTTGACCTTATCTTCACAAATAATGAGGACCTGGTAAGAGACATAAGAATATAAAAAACAACTAATTCCGATTACAATCTAATCGAAGTCCAGACGTACATGCATAGGGGTCCTGATCAGCAGAATGAATGTACCTGTGAAGGTGTCTTCACAAAATACAACTTCAACAACACGAACATCAACTGGGACTAGGTAAACCGTGTCTTAAATGAAACATGTTTGGAAGATATCTTAAATAACATGGATCCAAACCAGTGCCTTGAAAGGATCAACTTCCTGGCAGCTGAAGCATGTTCTAGGCATATTCCCCTAAGAAAGAAGAGCAGGAGTAAACTGGAGAAAGACGCTCCCTCTACAGAAGACGACGAAGAGTCACTGAGCTCCTCAGGAATGCTAGAATATCTGATACACGGAAGGAGGCGCTGACCAGGAAAGTGGAAACTATCGAACTTAAGTTAAAGGACTCTTACAGGAACCAGGAGAGACAGGAGGAGCTTAAAGCTATTAGTGAAACTGAAAGAAATTCGAAATATTTCTTTTCATATGCCAAAAACAAGGCAAATACCACATCTAGTATCGGGCCCCTACTCAGACAGGATGGGACTTACACAGATGACAACAAGGAAATGAGCGAAATACTGAAATCCCAGTACGACTCTTGTGTTTAGTGAGCCACTAATCAGTCTGAGGATCGACGACCCAAATGATTTCTTCATGAATGAGCCTCAAAACTCCATAAATGTATGTCAGACATCCCCCACACATCCTGTAATAGTGTATAGTGACCATAACCCTCTGAGGTTTTTGCAAAGAATGAGAAACCACAATCAAAGACTCTTAAGATGGGCTTTGTTCCTACAGCCTTTTAATTTGGAAGTTAAATAT